ACTGTGTAAGTACCTATTACTATAGCGCATGGTATAATAAGATACTCCGCCTGGTATTTCATTCCGAGACTCGTGAACCACGTGACTAACACAAGACTACGTCATCATGCTTGTGGGTAACGTATTTTATTGAAATAAAGTGGCAATACTAGTGACGTAGGCTTGTGTTTCTCTGGGAATGTAAGACTATGTTTTACTAGACTATGCTATAGCGTACCCAGGTGATAAGAATCAGAAAATCTTACAACAAGGGCCACCACGCCATGCCGGCGTATCTCAACTCATTGAACAATGCTATACTCAGAGCGACCACCAACGATGATACCGCTAATATCACTGTGTACTCGCATCCGCTGAAGATATCTGAGGAACAACTCAGCAAGGACACTGTGTAAGTACCTATTACTATAGCGCATGGTATAATAAGATACTCCGCCTGGTATTTCATTCCGAGACTCGTGAACCACGTGACTAACACAAGACTACGTCATCATGCTTGTGGGTAACGTATTTTATTGAAATAAAGTGGCAATACTAGTGACGTAGGCTTGTGTTTCTCTGGGAATGTAAGACTATGTTTTACTAGACTATGCTATAGCGTACCCAGGTGATAAGAATCAGAAAATCTTACAACAAGGGCCACCACGCCATGCCGGCGTATCTCAACTCATTGAACAATGCTATACTCAGAGCGAGCACCAACGATGATACCGCTAATATCACTGTGTACTCGCATCCGCTGAAGATATCTGAGGAACAGCTCAGCAAGGACACTGTGTAAGTACCTATTACTATAGCGTACCCAGATGATAAGAATCAGAAAATCTTTTTTTTTTTGCTTAGTACCAAAAGACAAAGTTTGAATAAAAGTCTAGTAAAGTGTATACTCGTGTTATTGCACTGTTTTTAGGCTAATATTACTATTTTAGCACGCAAAAGGAAACATTGTACTTAGATAAATTAAAAGTAGAACTCATCATTCATTGGCCTCATACGTCTGTGACAGACAATTTATTCAGTGTCCGAGGCAAGATTTTTCATGGCTGTATAAGCCGATACGGGAGCGGCATGACTTTCCGCACGCTCTACAAACGAAGGTGGAATTGGAGACTGACACATGCATGTTTAGATGTCGTTTTTGCCTTTTGTTTGCGAGACCAGCGAACCAGGCATCATCGTGAGCTTTACGCCCATCAAACACACGCTTTCTCCATACATCCCTATTCTCAGCAAGCTTCTCCCAGCTTTGATGGTCGATGTTAAACGCAGCCATGTCCCGTTTGGCGCAATCTTTGAAACGTAGCATCGGTCTTCCAACTCCTCTTTTGGCGTTAGCTACGGCGCCAAGCAGGACACGCCGTTATATGCAAGATGTTTCTTACGCAGCGCATATGAAATGTGTTGAGTCGACGTTCTTGTTTTGCGTACGAAGTCCAGGTTTCAGCTCCATACAAGAGTATGCTTAGAACGCAAGTTTGGTAAACAATTATCTTGGTTTTTGTGGTCAGGTGTTTATTATTCCATACTCTTGTACTGAGCCTGCCGAACATGGTCGCCGCTTTGCCGATACGAGTATTGATCTCAGCATCGAGGGTGAGATTGTTCGACACAGTCGACCCCAAGTAGCAAAACTTGTCAACTATGTTCAAGGGAACGCCACCGAGCAAAATACTTGGTGTTTCTCCACCTTGAGCTAGCACTACTGTTTTTTTTTCATTAATGGACATTGAGAACAGAGAACACGCGTGGGAAAACTTTTTGAGAATTAGCAACGAAGGCTGCATCGTCAGCGAACAAAAGGCTATCGACGAATAAGTCATTGCGGTTACGCTTTGACTTAAGAAGTGAGATATTGTACAGCTTCCCGTCAGCCCTAGTGTGCAGGTGTATACCCTGTTGGTCATCGCCGAAAGCAACTTTAAAAAGCAATGAGAAGAAAACACCAAACAGGGTAGGAGCCAACACGCAGCCTTGGCAAAAACCTCTACGCATTTTGAACGGCTCGGATGTATTGCCGTTAAAAACAACAGATCCTTTCATGTCCTCGTGGAAGGATTTAATGAGGCTTAGAAGTTTTGGAGGGCACCCGATGTTTAAAAGTGCAGTATAGAGTCCTACTCTGCTCACGGTGTCAAAGGCTTTGTTAAGGTCGACGAACGCCACAAACAGAGGTGTTTTCTGCTCTCTACACTTTTCCTGCAGTTGGCGAAGTGTAAAGATCATATCTGTTGTGGAACGTTGGGCGCGGAATCACTCAATACACGGTCAGCAAGTTTCTGGAGTCTTATTAAGACTAACCGTAGAACTAATTAGCTATATTTACAGTGTAATCCCATGCTCGTTTTGCTCGCAATACTCTTAACCGTGTACCTGAACTTGTGCTCGCTTTGCTCGCAATACTACAGTATAGTACCGTAGAAAAACCGAGCTCGCTTCGCTCGCTACACACTGTATGTCCCGAGTAAACTAGTGCTCGCTTTGCACGCAATACTCGTACTATTTACTACCTACTGAACATGTAACAGGTTCCCAATTTATGTATTGATTTGTTGCGTATTATTGAAATAAAAATTATCATCCATTCCCAGGTACCAACACATAGCGGACGCAGGTATCTCAGGCCTAGTCCTTATTGCCTACTGCTTGGTCAGTGGAGGGGCTGCTATATACCTAGTATCTGCTAGAAGAAGCCAACAAAAGCGATTGCAATTGCTGTGTGGGGTCAGTCCCGCGCTGTACTGGGCTGCCGCGCTAGCTGCTGATATGATAGTAAGTTTCACTACTATACTCCTCATAAAAAAATCGGGACACTTTCATTTTCAAAACTAAACAATATTAAATCAATGCTTTTTAAAAGTTGAATATAAAACATTGACATTATGATTTAGAAACCTCTTAATACTCAATATTGAACAACATTAGACATGTAATCCCAAAATAAATATATGTGATCCGTGCAAAACCTAAAGTTGCTAGTGTCTCGATTTTTCTGATGAGAAGTCTACATACCTAGCAACGAATAACAAGGGCCTTACCACAAAAAAGATAGACCAGCGTTCAACGCGTGTCTAGCGTTTTTTTGTATGAAGTTTTATTTTAAACACGCGTTCGACTCCCGTCTAACTTTTTTGTCGTAAGGCCCCAAAAGTATTCTTAGTTGCCTGAAATTAGATAATTTGAAGCCAGGAAGACGTCCATGTTGTTTTAAGTATGATGGAAGATTACACTCGTCATGCCGTCTGGTGCCGGCAGAGTAGACACCACCCCCTCTCTTCCCGTGGGGGTCGTAAGAGGCGACCGAGGGATAAACCCGACCCAAACAGCCAGGGCCAACCGTATGGTGGCGGTTAATCTACCACAAAAGCATTTCCAAGGAGGGTTGACGTCTGGTAGGCGGCCGGTCGTAAAATTAAATCCTTTTGTGTAAAAATGTTGTTTGATTCCGAAGCTGATCTTAGAGCAGTGGAAGCAAATTAAAGTTATCTTAAAATCTAAAACTAAATGGTCGATCAGCCTCGGAACAACATTTGACGACGATTCGTAGTGCTCTTTACTATAGCTAAATAAAATAAATTTAATGAGAAAATTTTCTGTACCGAGAAATTTCTGTTCGAGAAATTTCTGTTTCCCAATGTCTGCGACGGCCCTTAATCTCCTACAAGATGACTAATATTTTACTGTACTACCACAGCTCATATCTAAAGTAAATGTACCAAAGTTCCGGTTGTACTAAAGGTCATCAAGTTGGTGACCTCCACGTAATGTTGCTAATCACTACAAATAAAGTACTTATACAAAACTACCAGCGAATTGCTCACCGTGTGGTAAGTATGTCGCCGCCGTTCCATCGTGAGTCAAGATATGACGGGAAACAAGTTTCTGGACTTAGGAACACAGAGGATGGGAAAGTAAATCAAAACTCACGACCTCCAGACACCAGCTCGTGTGGTGCTCCGTCCTTCCAACAATTTTCACAACACTATTGTTCACTATTGTTCGCGACAGCAAAAACGTTCGCTGTTCAAGACGCGAATAACAAAGGATTTCTCCCAGCACAAGAAATCCAGCGCAAAATCCGAAATTGTTTAGGTTTAACTTCCACACCGAACAGGGAAGTCTTCCCTGGTGGAAATAGCACACACTAATAAGAAAAACACTAAAATTACATTAAAATGGGCTATCATGCCGCGAGCGCACACGGGAACGAGAGTAATGGAATGTGAATATGGCGCCGGCCGCGTGGTTCACGGGAACCGAGAGAACAAAAGCAAGATGGCGCCGGCCGAACAGCTGGCGTTCAGGCCGCGCGGTCCGTCAGACGAAATGGCGTGAAACAACAAATCGCATTCGCGCGCCCATATGATACGAAACTAAACAAATGTGTTGCGCCGACCCCAAGTAACTAGGATAAGGGCAGGAAGATGATGATGGAAGATTACACTCGTTTTGCTTGTGTTTTTATGTTTTACAGGCAATGATTTTGCATTACAATATTATTATTATGTTAAATGTGTTTTTTTCGCTTAGGTCATGTTGTTAAGTGTATTTACACTTTGATAGGTCGTTTATTATAGGGTGTAAAACAGAACTGCAAATATTTTAAGTAGTGTATCAGCAAATTTGTATGGGAGGTCCAATTTTTTAAATGTTATTGACTACGTTCCTTTGGAAAAGTTGTTCAGTTTCATTTCAACACTCAAAATATATGCAGTTCTTATACATTGTATAAAAAACCATTGTAATGGTTATCTTCAAAAATTAATAAGTAAATCTGGTTTAAATGTGTCTGTTAATTTCAGGTGATAATAATCAACATGGTGATCACGATAATAGTGTTCGAGGCGTTTGGTTTCCCAGTGTTTGTAGCCAGAAGCAACCTGCCGGCTATCTGCCTACTCATCTTGTTGTATGGGTAAGTTGTAAACACGGAAGTTCGTAAAAAAATATCATCCTTCCTTCATCTGAGGTTGTAATAAATCAATAAAATTGTACCGACAGCCGATGTGGCACGGTGGTAGTGCGAATGCCCGCGACGCAGAAGGTTCCGGGTTCAACTCCCGGTGGGTCACTCACAAAGTTTATGTTAATCACTTTGTGAATTTGTTCCCAGTCTGGCTAGGACATTGCAGGCTGAATCACCTGATTGTCTGAAAAGCAAGATGGTCCCTATTACTGTCTATGGTCACTTAGACGGAGGGTCGTTACACAAACATTCCTAGTACTAGAAATAGGCGGTTAAAAAACTGACACCAGGGTACATCGGGTCGTGGGACGACTCAGTGTCCCACTCGAAGAAGAATAATATTATTTATAAAAATATGCATTCTTCTGGATTAAGTATTATGTAGTTAACACTGGCAGTGTTGAAAATTATCACAGAAAAATAGTGTCATTTGAACCCGAAAAAAACTTTGTCCTGAACATACAACGAACGACAGTTTGCGATACAACTTGTAAAGTTTCGTTTAGTGTCATTTACAACTTTTAGTAACTTGATTCCTGACATAGGTATCTGTGTGTCATTTTGCAACTTTTTCCATTTTGCATTTGTGTAATTTTGCGTAGCTAACATTTTAATCCGCCATTTTTGATTTCAGATTTGCGTGCGGTTCATTCGTGCACGTAGCGGAGAAGTTGTTCACTGATGCCAGTTTAGCTAATATGATCCTGTTCTGTGGGAACGCATTCGTTGGCCTCGCTGGCATCACTTTGCTGCTTATTTTGGATATCATATCGGATTCTGAGGTAAGTTTTGTTTTATATTTTACAAACATACTTATCACACTTTCAGGTCTCCCTTGCGGGGTGGACAGAGCCTTTCTGTCTATGGCGTTTAAAAATTGTATGGAAATCTTCTCTGACGTTGAGCCTTAAAATACAGGGTGTAAAGGACGGGTAATGAAAACGCAGGCGTGCCCAGACCAAAAAGCTGATTAATTTTCCCTATGGAACATATGGTGGTAAACGAAGGAAATTTTGACGTCTCATAAAAATTTAATATCAAATTTTAAAACACTTCTCGTGTTAGGTATACGATTTTTGGCATCTGTACTGCCGACGCCACTACCAACTGGCAGTACAGATGCCGAAGGTCGCAAGATCAAATCCTGTTTGCGGTGGGAAATTTTGCAAGTTTTCCAAAAAAAATCCCATAAAAAGTTAGTAAGCTGATCGCGAATTTTGTCCCTTACATCCTGTATTTTAATGACATTTAAGACTTCGCGTATCCTGAGGACCGTTTTAGTAAATGGTGTATAACTAGAGATATAGTTAGTCGTATTCAAAATTGTATCTCATTTATAAAATATGATATTGATTTTCTGATCAGGCAACGGACAACGCCCGATGGATACTTCACAAGATCCTGCTGTTGTGTCCACAATTCGTGCTCGGGGATGGAATGCTCGAGATCGCCAAGAATACTGTGCAAGCCCAGGTATGATATACTGGGTGTCACAAAACAACTAATAAAGCTGAAATAAGGTCAAGTTTTGTATGGAACATGGATGGAAAAATGAAAAAACTATTTGGACTTCCCATACATATTGGTTGTTTTGTAACACATTGTATACTCTCTAAATCATCTTGCACATTGTTTATACTTTGTTACCTAGAAACTTTTTACCCGACTGTCTCAGAAGGAGGGTTTTTCGAGAGTATGTAGTATGTGTGTACAGTCTTTTTGAAAAGTCCTAACATGAAATGGAGTGGAACTAAAAAAACATACAAAATTATTGCCATTCGTAGTCAATGTTGCCATTTAATTTTGCAATTTCATGCAAAGCGTTTTTGTCTGGACTTTTTAGTCCGGCTGTATGCATGAGGACAAGAAATCATTTTCACGGTCTACAGCCCAAACGGCTTGACGGATGTTGACATATGAGTTGTCGCTAGATTCGCCTCAACAGCGCGAGTGACACTGGCTATATTAAAATTTCATAAATTCAATATGGCGGGTTTTAAACGCAATGAAATAACTTGCTATTTGCTGATTCAACGTGGTTTCGCTTTCGAAGAAATAAAACGTTTACGATATGATAAGTGAATATTATGATTCAGGATGTTTAAGTGTTAAGGTCTATAGAATTTCTATAGAATACGAAAGCCGAGAGAAAGCTCTCTACATCTCTAATCGTCGCTTCGCGACGAGTATCAAGAGGTTGAGAAATTCACCAGGGTCCGCCAGGCGACCGTAGCTCAGTTCGCAGAGCGTTTTGATGGTACCCCACGGTCCCGGGTTCAAATCCCGGCGGTCGCTAGTGAATTTTTCAATTTCCTCATTTTCAATTTATAAGCTGTACAGTTCATAAAAAATACAATGCTTTTTCTGCAGGTGCTGATACGTTTCGGAATGGACACATACAAGGACCCACTAACTACAGACCTTATAATGTACCACTACATCGCGTTAGTTTTGGTGGGAGCTGCCCTCACGATACTCAACTTGGCTATCGAGTATGATTACTTCGAGTGGCTAATGGCAAGGTAAATATATTCATTCATCATCATCTTCCCGTCCTTATCTGATTGAATTTGAGGACAGCATAATTTTACCTTAGTTTACCTGCGTGTTACGTGTAGGTACTCTAGGTCTTTCAAATGTTGGCTGGAAGAGATCTCTTAATGGGATAAGCCCGCCTTTGTGCCTGTATTTTTCTGATTTCTATATTTTCTGTTTTAAAATGTTTTGGTACAATAAAGTGATTACATACATACATTTTTTGTATAAAAAACATTTGGCATTCGTTTCGGAATGGACACATACAAGGACCCACTTACAACAGATCTTATAATGTACCACTACATCGCGTTACTTTTGGTGGGAGCTGCCCTCACGATTCTCAACTTGGCTATCGAGTATGATTACTTCGAGTGGCTGATGGCAAGGTAAACACCTTTCTCATCAGGAAAATCGGGACATTTAGCAAGTTTATGTTTTGTAGGGATCACATCTGAGACAAATGAAAAGACAGAAGACAAACGTCATCTGAGATGTAAAGAAATCAACTGCAAATATTTTAAGGGGTGAACTAGCCAATGAAACTAAACAACTTTCCCCAAGGAACATAGGCTAAAATATTGAAAAAAAATTGGACCTCCCATACAAAATATACCAGCGGACCAAGTCAATTTGTATGGGAGGTCCAATTTTTTTTTCATACTTCGGCCTATGTTCCTTGGGGAAAGTTGTTCAGTTTCATGGGCTGGTTCATCCCTTAAAATATTTGCAGTTATTTTTTTTTCTCCTTATATTCATTCATCATCATCTTCCCGTCCTTATCTCATTCAATTTGAGGATAGCATCATTTTTTGTAATAAAATCATATCATAAAAGGTATAGTTGCTATCGGTATCTTGTTTCGGCCGCCCAAAGTCGACCTTATAGAATTACGGTGATTCGAATAAACCATATTTGACAGCTGACAGCAGAGTAACATGTCAACAAAGAAAAATTTAAGTTATGTCCCAGCACTAACATGATTTTGACAGCTGTCAAATATGGCCTATTCGAATTACGGTATACTATAGGCATGCTATCGTAGGAGTACTACCCGCCACCATGCGATTCAGATATGTAACCAAAGTCAGAAGCTCTACGTAGCCTCTTACAAAACACCCTATGTAGACTAGGGGTACCAGTATTCTTAGCTTCTTCTCACAATTCGCTACTTGACTGGGCCGTAAATAAAATAAAAAACTGTATGCTTAAAACTATTGTCGAAAAATACTACAGACTTCATTCATCGATTTTCAAAATTATTACCTAAAAGTTAGAGTTATTAAACACCTCGGTTAAACACAAAAAATATATAGAAGTTATTGCTTTGACTCCTTCCAAAATATTGAGTTATGACGTCATTATTTCAGTAATTTCCATAGACTTATATGGTAATTTCAATCAAAACATCGTTTTCGGCCGTTTTAAAAATAGATCATTTGACCTGTCAATCAAGTAGCGGATTCCGTTAGATGGAGCAAATATCACGCTTTATGACACCAAAATACACTTGAAGAGAAGTGGATGGATGTTTTTTATTTCTATATTAGCTCTGAGATCGGGAGGTGTATTATCAACAATGTATTTTAGTTTTCCGAGAATATTACAAACGTTTTCGAAGTCGGATAAAATGATAGACGTAGGTATCACAAGATACTTCAGACAGAAGTTACAAGAAAAAAGAAATATAGTATTTCTTAGTCCAGACAGATTTCCTCTAGGCAATGTTGTATCAATATGATATGTATCAAGCAGTCGGACCCATATCATGCTAGTGACATGTGTTAGGGAATACAACACGTTTTTTATAAAAAGGGATAACCTTTCGAAGGGTTACTTGGAACCGCCTTTTGTTAGGATTTTTAGTGTTTGAAGTATACATGGTGGACCATACATACATACATACACATATCACGCCTATATCCCTTGCGGGGTAGGCAGAGCGTACACGACGGCTGTAAAAATCAGCCATTTACACCACGTCTGACAAAAGTTTGAGACTCATTCAGAAGACTGTGTATCATCCATCATATTGACAGGTTGCCAGCCTGACGCCTAAAATTGCAATAGGTACACTTCTTACGACACTCACGAGAAAGATATAGGGTGTTGCTATTCTAAGCTGGCACCGCACGCATTCTGGACCATACAGTGATGTCAAAAGATATTATTTTAATTTAAAGAAGTATCCGAATCACCCCGTTATATATTCCGCGTTTTTTTTGTTGTTTTCAAGTTTAGCATCTATTGTCGTAAAGTGGCAAATCGGTTTCTACAGGGAAACTTGATGTTAAAACAAAGTATTTTGAATTTTATATAAACACGAGACTTCCCATCGAGTTTTTTAATTAGGTACACTTTTGTCTCCTTTACAAAGGTACCACTCAAATAAATAAAATAATAAGATCTTTGGTATTTCTTGATACTTATTATTATTTGAAGTTTACGCAACAATAGCCAATAAACAAATATATTCATTTACTTTGTTTCTGATAGGTATTGTTATTTGTTCTATTCTCAACATAAAACGTTCTTACGGGATTTATATTTGAATTGAAATTCATTTTGAATGAGGGACTTATTTTCCTCAGTATTTATATTTTATTTTAACAAGGTTTTAATGGCCCAAATACAAATAAAGCTTTTGGTGGAAAAGTCATTCATGCAGTACCGAGAAATGTTTTTGTTTTCGTCGAAGCTTTCCGGTCTCTTCTAGGAATAAAATGGAATTTTTCCTGTCCAAATAGATGGCAAACACCTAATTATTTTATTCCACGATCATTTATCTGTATCAATAGACGTCCATACATTTTCTACAGTGACATAGGGTAATCCAAGAAGGTTTTTTCCCGTGTCTCTGTACCTACAATACACTATCAATTTATCGTACTTATTTAGGGTTGATTCTTTTGGAGTTTTGATTGCCTACGCAGTTGTGTTTTTGATAGTTTGACTCTTGGCTTTAGTTTAAGCCAGCTGTAGTCGAAAATGGAGCTAGCTTACTCAAAATCCAAATATTTAGAGCACTATTACCACACACTGACGACGAGCTATACAGGGTGTAAGGGTCTTCGAATACTGATAAGACGCATTCAGACCATGAAACTGAACTTCACAAAAGATTTTTTTAGGATATGTCAAATATTTTTTGTATTCTCGTAGTAAATAAATACATTTGTATGGGAGAAGTTTGTTGTCGTTTCCTGATTCATAGTCTGAATGCACCCTATCAGTACTCTGACTGTCCCTTACACCCCATAGTAGTATCTACATGGTACTTTTTGGCGTCAGACTCTGATGTTGTATTTTAATGTGATCAAGATCATCAGCCCACATACGCCCACTGCAGGGTATAGGCCTCTTCTCTATTGCACCACTCCTCACGGTCCTGTGCTAATCTCATCCATTTAGACCCGGTCAATTTGATGATGTCATCTAACCACCGGGCTGATGGTCTGCCCACTGGTCTTTTCCTCCTCTTTGCCACCGTCTGCTTCAACAAAATTTAATTCCATGTATTTGTTCAACACAGGTTCCGTTCCGAATCAATATCAGAGCTCAAAACTGGTGAGATGGAGGACTTGGAAGTGGCTGCCGAGAGGAAACGGGTCCACGTCGCGTTGTATGAGGCTGAGCGGCCCGTCAGGCTGCCTACCATTGGGAACATTAATGCTGGTAAGTTGCTACATATACATACATACATACATACATACATTATATCACTCCTATATAGAGGAAACGGGTCCACGTCGCGTTGTATGAGGCTGAGCGGCCCGTCAGGCTGCCTACCATTGGGAACATTAATGCTGGTAAGTTGCTACATATACATACATACATACATATATCACTCCTATATAGAGGAAACGGGTCCACGTCGCGTTGTATGAGGCTGAGCGGCCCGTCAGGCTGCCTACCATTGGGAACATTAATGCTGGTAAGTTGCTACATATACATACATACATACATACATACATATATCACTCCTATATAGAGGAAACGGGTCCACGTCGCGTTGTATGAGGCTGAGCGGCCCGTCAGGCTGCCTACCATTGGGAACATTAATGCTGGTAAGTTGCTACATATACATACATACATACATACATACATATATCACTCCTATATAGAGGAAACGGGTCCACGTCGCGTTGTATGAGGCTGAGCGGCCCGTCAGGCTGCCTACCATTGGGAACATTAATGCTGGTAAGTTGCTACATATACATACATACATACATACATACATATATCACTCCTATATAGAGGAAACGGGTCCACGTCGCGTTGTATGAGGCTGAGCGGCCCGTCAGGCTGCCTACCATTGGGAACATTAATGCTGGTAAGTTGCTACATATACATACATACATACATACATACATATATCACTCCTATATAGAGGAAACGGGTCCACGTCGCGTTGTATGAGGCTGAGCGGCCCGTCAGGCTGCCTACCATTGGGAACATTAATGCTGGTAAGTTGCTACATATACATACATACATACATACATATATCACTCCTATATAGAGGAAACGGGTCCACGTCGCGTTGTATGAGGCTGAGCGGCCCGTCAGGCTGCCTACCATTGGGAACATTAATGCTGGTAAGTTGCTACATATACATACATACATACATACATACATACATATATCACTCCTATATAGAGGAAACGGGTCCACGTCGCGTTGTATGAGGCTGAGCGGCCCGTCAGGCTGCCTACCATTGGGAACATTAATGCTGGTAAGTTGCTACATATACATACATACAT